ATGTTATAATGTTTAGAAAAACTGGATCGCGTAGCCGGTGTTGCACATACCGCAGAGGAGGAAATCTCAAGCTACTTACAAAAATTACAATATTCCGAAGAACTATGGATCGCGTAGCCGTTGTTGGACATACCCGAAGGTACAAAATATCAATAGCCGGCCAAAGGCCGTCTACCTATTAAAGCTTAAATACATATTAGTGGAGACAATCTCAATTTCATGTTTGCATCACAAACATTTTTGAACTATAAGAGATATGATATAATTTTGGAAAGGAACGAATATATGCTATAACGTAGCATGTAAATCTTACCCCACAATGGGTCCAGTTTTCAGGGGTTTTTCAATAAGTACTAGTATAAGAATACCAGTTTTTATGCATAACTCCAGATCCGGTTCCAAAAACCTATCATATGACAACTTGTTGGATAGGTAATTCCAAAAGCTTTTAAATGATACTCAAATGATGATAAATAACGGTTTTGTAGAACCGGATGTTGTATTCGAACTTTCGGGTTAAGTAACCGAGTAGGTGGGTGCTTTCCCAACTAAAAATTTACTTTTCCTTAATCAGGTTAAAAATTGCCCTAAGTCCCTAAGCTCAATTTGCTCCGATAAAAATACTCAGATGCACATTTCAAGATCTGTTTTTTTTTTTTTGTTAGCATGAATTTCCTATAAAAATATAGTTTAGTGTTATCAGCATATAATATTACCTATGCGCTGCAGCTAGCTTAGCCTACTTTTGAAGCCAGGAACAGTCTTAATAATCTCTCCCATATGGATATATGTAAGAAGATTAGTAATATCGGCCCACTCCGTCCCTACAAATACTAAAAATAATGCATCTCAAAAAACCTTATGGAGTATCCGAGATATTTTTAACAGGCCCAGACTAGGGTAAAATATGGATAATATCGGCCCACTCCTTGAAGTGGTTCCATTCATTTTATGGAAATGGTTCTACGTAATGCTATATGATATTTAGTTCGTTGTCGTACGGACGCGATTTGTCCACTATAATACGAGTAAATGGGCAAATAAAGAGTGAGTTGGATTAATAAAATGTGTGTTACATTCGACAATGTGTATAGGAAAATAAAGGGAATAAAATTCCATGTTGTTTATAGGAGTGGTACTTTTTAATCGATGTCATTATAAATAAATTATTCTGTAATTCAAAAATATTCAACTTCCCCACTATGGTAAAAATGTCTTCTAAGTCCGTACTACCACAACAAGCCAGGTCCAGTCAAAGTCATCTATATTGAATACCGACAAAATATCAAGTATATCACAAAGATCGGAATTTCGGATGTACAAAATGTAGAAATTTGAAAGCTTATGGAAAACCTATCCAAGAAGTGGTTATATGATGGGTTGGCTTTAATCGGAAATACAAGAAAATTGCTATTTTTATACAAGAACTTTTTGAAAAGCTCATAAATGTGGAAAATAAACCCTTATGGGTTATTAACTACTACATTGTAGCCAATGCTGGCCTTTTCAAAATGGTGTCATGTGTATCGATATGTCTTGTAGTTCCGAAGATATTAGTGTTGCATATCACGAAATTGAGATTTTCTCCGCTAATATGTATTTAACCTTTATAACTATGTAGATAAGAAGATATTGACTTTAACCTTCATATACGCCCGTCAAAAAATGTAACACGTATACTCAGCCCCGGTTAAAAAAAAAAAAAACTATTACCCCCAACCCCATGTATTATTAGGAACGTAAGTTTTGAGTAATATAAAAACAGTTTTACGGAAAAAAGTTATTTATGACTTATAGTTTTTCATTTCGCCCTTTGTCCATATGGAAAAACTTAAAACACAATTATTCGGTTCCACAGACCGTGCGCGAGTATGGGAAGGTTAAAGTCGATCTCCGGCTACTACTTACGAAAATGACAATGTTTAAATAACCTATGGATCGCGTAGCCGGTGTTGTATATACCCCAAAGGAGAAAATCCATACATACACTGGTGGCCAAAACTAAAGCAACTGAAATTACAAGGAGATTGAATGCCCTGTAACTTTTTCAAAAATTAAGAAAATGAGAAAGTTTTTCTTGTTTTAAATTAGGTACTTTATTCACTTTTTAAAAACCTAAAACATAAAACCAAAATTTATTTTTATATAAAAAATAATGTTTGGTAAAGTCAATTAACCCGATTTTGGCTTGGACAAAACAAAAGCAACTCTGTTGTACATTCATATAACCGCTGCAATTTCAGTTGTTTTTACTGTGATATTTATCGCTTTTTGCTTACTTCGACAATTTCGCTTGTCATAAATCCTTTTTGAGAAGTTTTTTACAACAGTATGTGTTTTTCTTTTCGTTTTTTAAGTACTGCCCAAAAAAATTTTAAAAATGGCTAGAAGCAAATACAGTTCCTGAATAAAACAGCAAATTATCAGTGACTATCAAAACAATATATCACAGAAAATGATTTCCGAGAAATATTTCATAAATATTTATGTGATTTCATAATTATTTCTGTATACTAAGTCGGTTTTTTGAAACTGGATCAGTAGTAACAGTCTATAACGGATGAAGGCCGTGAAAAACTTCAGCCCGTACTGATCCACAAATTGTGAGAGAAATAAAAAAACAACTATTTAAGAGTTCAACTGGATTGGTGAGAGAGCAATCATTGGATATAAGCTCGAGATTAGTGCGTAGACTAGTAGTGGTAGCTGGTCTGCATGCCCGTAAGACATCAAAAAACCATTTATATCTGAAAAAATCAAAAAGGCTTTCAGGAAACGATAATATTAAGTGGAATCAAGCTCAATGGAAAAAACATTATTTCTGGGATGAGTCTACGTTTAATATTAAAGGCTCAGACGTGAAAAATTTTACGGTGAGAAGACCAAAAAATGAAGGACTCATGCCGCAGTGTTGCAAAGGTACAGTGAAGCATGAGGGAGGGTCAAAAATGGCGTGGCGCTGATTTTCTTTCTATGGACTTGGGCCTATCCATAAAATAAAGGAAGTTGTGGATCGGTTTGTTTACAAAGATGTGTTGGACATCACGTTGTTCCCTTACGCTGAGTAAAATAATAATATTTTACTCATAATAATAATATTTTACTCAGCGTAAGGGGAACAACGTTATGTCCAACACATCTTTGTAAACAAACCGATCCACAACTTCCTTTATTTTATGGATAGGCTGATTTGGGTGTTTCAGCATGACAATGATCCCAAACTTGTATCAAAACTTGTCAAATATTGGTTGCTGTTTTGTTATGGCCGGCACAATCACCTGACCTAAACTCCTTAGAAAACCTTTGGAGTATTGTAGATAGGAAGCTCAAGAGAGATTCGGAAATAAATAAGCACAACATTTTCTAAAGAATTCGGGCTGCCTGGGAAAGCACACCCAAGGATCAAATTGAGCGTGTTATAGATTCAATGCCTCGTATGTGTGCAGCTGCTATCAAAAATAATGGTTATGCTATCGACTACGAGCCAAAATTTAATTATTTTAAAATAAAAAATCAAAAGTTGCTTTAGTTTTGACCAAGCAAAAATTGGGTCAGTTTTCCACATATTATTTTTCGTTCAAAATTATTTTTGTATTTTTATTTTTAGTTTCTTAAAAGTGAATTAAACCCCTCATTTAAAACTGGAAACATAATTACGTTTTGTTTATTTTTGTAAAAGTTACAGGACATTTATTGTCTTTGCGGTTTAAGTTGCTTTAGTTTTGGCCACCAATGTATATACCGGATAAAACCAGGTTACTTTATCTTAATCAGGTTAAAAACACCCACCTGCGGTAAAAACAGCATAGCCCCTAAACTCAACTTGCTCTTTTTCATACGTAATTTTTGTATATTTTTGCAGCCTTACAAGAATACAAATACCTCAGCTGATATTTTTTTACGTATACATACACAACCAAAAAAGAATGCACCTAACCTAACCTAATTACATTTCCCAATATTCATAATTTGCAAATGGCAAATTATAATTATGTATCATGCTGGCATTTTGGGCAAAATAAAAAGGTAAACAACAGACTCGCAGAACTTTGGGCTTTGATATGGATCCTATCGTCAATATCTTAGTATGGCACATAACATATTGTATATATGTAGATGTTTTAAGCCACTTTTACACATAAAACACTTGAAAAGTTAGAAAATCTTTGCTTGCCTTAATAACAAGTCAAAGTAAACAATTCGATTCCACAAATTGAAATTAGAATATTTAAGTGGTTTTTATTTGGCAGAATGTCCCTAAGAAATCATACCATTAAAATTTATCAGTGAATCCGATGAATGTTGAAAAACAGCTATGAGCAGCCTAGAACGCAGAAGTGTAAATAAAACACGCGTATTCCTACTCTATTCTAATTTGCTGTTGATTGAGAAGGGGGAGAGTGTCTTACCACTACTAATGCATATATTCTGAGCATCATTGTTGGAAAATATGAACAATAAAATACCTTCTTAAGTGTTCCATGGCGTAATATCAAGGTGTTCCTGAAGATTTTAAAAACCAGGTGATATTTCATCTGGTTTTTATAGTTGACAGGAACACTTTGTAAATGCTCCATGAACCATGTACTGTCTCTTTGAACTCTTTTCTTTTAAATCTTGACGAAATTTGTGATTTCTTGGTCCATCCTTGCTTGTTTTGAAAACAAAACAATGACATTAATCATAAAAATTTTGATACCATAAAAAATACCATGGAAGAAGAATGCAGGTAGTCGCATCGATACAGCTGCTAGGACAATGAACTTACAAATTTTGAAATATTCAAATTTGTAAATATTGTTAATAAATGCATATTAAAACAACCTCTGATTGACGTCGTATAGGAAAACATATATGCAAATCTACTAATTTTTGAAGAGTCATTAAAAAATGTTGATATATCAATGTTCCAAAGCGTTGATGTATCTACCTGTATACCTCTACCATGATAAGACGATATCATAAGACGGTATCTCGACATATAAATACTAAAAGTGTAATTTATATTTCATGATGGTCAAATTAAATCATCGTTTTCTCTTTTATTCACATTTATTGTTAAATGACATTAAATTATTAGTTATTACAAAGAATACGTTGGAGTTAATGAGCTCTTAATAAATAATGTTATTTTGCTAACAAAATTAATTATTAGCCATATTAGTCGAAAAATAACAAAAACCTTTTATATAAGTAATTAGTGATGTGTTATAGATTTGTATTTAAGTCCATTGAAGAGCTGAAAAAAACATGTAGATGGAAACAATGCATAATACATTCTATGCATAGTTTCTGAAAGTTGTAAATAGACTGTATAAAACACGCAAAGTTGATTTCAGATCCATATTCACGACATCTACAACAAGAAAAAAATATTATTTCTACAACTACAACATAGTCTAAAAAATGTCAATAAATATAAAAATAAGGCATCGATACAGTTGTTTTACTGATAATAGCCACAGCAAACATACCTTCCGGTCGAGCTTTTGGTTTTGGTAAGCCGGCGTCTTGCATAAGATCAAAGGAAAATGCAACATTTGCAACCATTTGGTCAGTGTCTTGCGGTGTAAGATGAAACTCATGCAATGGCACAAAAAATCCTCCCAGCAAACCCATTAAGAGACACAAGTAAACGCCGTCCCGAAAGTCGCTATTGAGGTCTGTAATTTCAAAATTTAATTTGGACAAGTGCTTATTTACGAATGTAATGAGAGATTTTTTAACAACGGTTAATTTATCCGGAGCACTATCAAACAAGGTATCAAACGCATCTTTTTCACATCGCATACCAACATCGTCGTATTCAGATGTAATTTGTTCTTGAAATTTCCTGTAACGAAAAAAGTTTAAGCATAAGTCTTAATATTGGGTATAGGACTACTTACTGGGCATTTAAAACACCCCCATTCTTTTGTGCAATTACTACTGTTACGAAAACATTTTCAGGAAGTCGCACCGGTGCTCGAAAATGTCTTACTAAAGCCACGAGCAAATGTAAAATCGCAACTATATTTTTGGAGTGAACACTTTCAACAGACCACTTCGGTAGCTTCTGGTGAAAACCCAAAGTCTAAAATAAAATTAGATATTATGATACTTAAATTTGCTGTTGAAAAAGCAATGAAACTTAAAAGCAAAAGCTTTTACTACTACGATAACAAGATTTTCGCAGAATAGCGTGTAGTCATAGTCATCAATCCCGACGCGAATATTTCACTACCTCATGTTCTCTAACTGCGGAAACGCCACATCACAGAAGAAAGTCAGTTACAAAACTGAGACTGAAAGCTGTTGATGTGTTGCAAAGATTTCAACATCACATGCTGTCGACTAAGCTACGGCAGGAATATCACATATGACAAGACGAAAAGAAAGTTCTACTATGTAAAAATTATGAGAGATCATGTAAGATTTCACAACCAAATCATATTTCTTTGTTTTTTATTTACTCAGTGTCACGAAAAAATGTACTCCATGCCTCAGAATGTTAAAATGTTCGCAGAGCTATATGTTTTGTTCCTTTACGTGCAAGATAATAAAACTCTTACCCGTTTTTGCTATTTTTGGAAAAGTAGTTAAACATGCTGTCATGTTTGGGATAATTTTTTTTTGTAAAATAAACAATAAGTGAAGTAGTTAAAAAGTTTACTAATTTTACTGGAATATTTTACAAGTAAACAATAGTAGCATGATTGCCAGTTTCTGATTGGCTGATATGTTGATTTCGAAGGTTTGTCGTGTAATTTTTTTTTCGTTCCTCTACTATCTAAGTAGTTTTACAATTTTTAAATTAAAAGGGACAAAGCTATAATTCGCATTTTTGTTTTTGATGACTATGACCTCTTGCGTGATATTCTTGTCGGCACTGCATCATTGTTAAAATCGAAGACTGTGAAAAAACTAGCAGGAAAATTAAAAGACTTCTTCAAATATTTGTAATTAAAATAATAGGTAGATACATAAAAATGTAAAATGTACACTACGTACGTGGTTTACAGCATTCAATACAATATTTAATTTTTGACGTTGTCCCTCTTCTGACTGTGTAACTTCAAGAACATCAAGTTTTTTTCCTGTTAACTTCTCCCAAAGCTTATGCAATACCTATAGAAATTATAAAATTTTAATCAAAATGTTATTTATACATTTTTATTGAAATTACCTGACCATCATACATGTCTTCATCAATACTCTGTACTATAATACGCTGCTCGGCTAATTCATCGTTTATCCAGTCAATTAAAATCTGTTGAAGTTTTTTAACTTCTGGATCATTAATTGACTGGGGGTCTATTACGGTTCGTTGTTCATGTTCACCTTTCATATAATACAATGATGAAATGAACGATTAAAAATAATATTAAAATCGACACTTACGGAGTGCATAATCTTCTGGGGGTATATCTATCTGACTTGGAGCTCCAGGAGAGTCAATTGCATGCTTTCCTTCCTCTTGGACTTTTTGAACTGAAAATAAATGAATATAAATTGAAATTAGGCCTAATATCAAAATATCTGAACACTCAAATAATAGCATGGCTAATCAAGGTATTTCAAGGAATATTAATCCGAAAATTTCAAACTCTGTGTTACTTTGCGATACCAGCTTTAAAAACGTGGATACGCTTTTCGTTTATTTTTAGACCTACTTTCATATTCTGCTAGGTTTTCCCTGTAATTATTGAAAGAAATGAATTTTGTCGCACAGTGTATTTTAAAAATAGCATAGAAAAACCTCTCATACAAATGTAACATATGTTGATGCGCAAGCGTGAAGCATTGTAAACTGTTGCATTTCAACTCAATCTATCTACACACTTCGATAAAATGAACTGTTTAAGCACGATTCACCTAGGGATTTTCTTTTAATGGCACATCGTGGCCGCCAAATTAAATTTCACAAAACATATATCAATTAAAAGGAATTTATTTACTGTTTTGGGAAAGCGGATGCGCATCATGACATTTCCACGATTACGCGATCGATACGTATTTCAAGTGTTGAAATACTTACAAGGCTTCGCAATTTAATATCATGCAAATATACGCCAGTAGGAACACTTATTGGCAAAAATTGATTGAAACAGAATATCTATATTATTGTACAAAATTTTAATAAAACGAGGAACTCGAGTATATTTTATTTCATTATTGGACCATAATGAAAATAAATTTTTCAACGTCGTGCTGCGTTGTCTCAACAGTCAAACCTTTCATGTAGGCTGTGCTAATGAAGGTAGAAGTTAATAGAGACCTGATCTCGAAATCAATTACGTGGTTGAAAAGAGGGGCGTGCCGAGGCGGCACAAGTCCTTATGGACATACACATAAGCCTGAACTAATGAATATATTTAATTTTATATTAGATATATCGAACCCCCTAATGTTATAAAGGTCTATCGCCCTAATGTGTCCTACATCTGGAACCGGTTCAGCTTGAACGAAAAAATTATGTATTAGAAACTTCATCTTTGAAGTGTATTCTTTCTTTTTTTCTTTGGTCATTATGCTGTACTAAAGGTGATAATTGGAAAATAACATAGAATAACGTGATTACTGAACACATCTTCCATCCTTTTCTTGTTTTTTTACATTAATATGGCCATATCTTTCACTAAAAATATTTTTTAGAAAATCCCTCGGTGAATGGTACTACACAGTTCATTTGTCATTTCATGTGTTCTTAGATTACGTGAAATACAACAGAGAAAGAGACGAGCAGAAACACATCTTATTCTAAAGTAGCCTCACTGAGAATAGGTATGTACGATTTCATTTGTAATAAAAAATTCTCGTGTGAACATTTGTATAGCGAAAAATAAGTTATTTAATGGCATAATAAAATATTAAATGCCTATTATCTGAAAAATAATTAAAATAAGTGCGTTATACTTTTAAATGGTTGAAAAATAAAACCAAAATTGCAATTTGTGTAGTGAAAAATAAGTTATTAAATGGAATAATAAAATATTAAATGGATATTATCTGAAAAATATTTAAAATATGTACTGTATTACCTAAAATTTTAAAAAATTTTGCATCTATTTTCCAATCAGCTGATGTTACTTCACTGAGTAAACATTTCCAGTTAAATTTTGTACAGCGGTTTTCATCTGTCATTGAACCGAAGCTTACCGCATCCGATAACCAATGGAAATATCCCCAGAGATCAGGTGAGTAGAATCATGCATTTGATAATACAGATGAGGTGATCATCGGGGTTGGTGATCTGGAGGGAAATGCCTCTACCAGCAATCCCACAGACTAAAAGAGTATCAAACCAAAGTACGCCAAGCTAAGGAGAGACTATAAGAGTTCGATGAAAATCTGAAAGAAATTTATTGGCTGAAACGGTTTGCAGATTTTACATCCAGAGGCAAAGAAACTGACGCATAGAGGGGTAGAGGATTAATTGAAATAATGTAAAAAACTTATTAGACGCCCTATAGGGTCTATATAAAGTGCTCTAACCTTCACAAAAATTTTCAGGGAGATTCTCAAACTTGGAAGTGCCGTTATATATGGTCAGTACATTATAGTAGATGTATCTTATCAAAATTTAGCAGAAAGAGATTTTGTCAGATCGGAACCCAAAATGTCAAGTTTCTCATGATTGGCTTTAAAATTATGGCCGAAACCTTCAAAATACCGAAAATCACGATGTAACGCTATATGGAGGCCTTACCGAAACGTGGTATGTTTTAATACCAAATATACTAGGGATAATATAAATGTCTGAGCAAAATTTCAGAGCGATAGTATGTTTCCTTGCATTTATCTCCGTTTTTGGGGATCTCACCCCACTGTGCGACGATAGGTCAAGTTTCTTTGTCAACCTCTGCATCTCCATATCCGCCTCCAGCAAGAAGATCAATACCAGGTCCTCCTTTTCAACAAAGTAGCTGGCCTTTAACAAGTACAACGGTCAAGAAGGCTAGGCGTCATACATTTGCTATATTGAATCCTACCAAAGATCCTAAATACATTGCAAGTATTTTTCGAACGGGATAAACTATTGATTACATGATCCACAATTTCACCAATGTACAGGCAACGTTGTGAGCCTGGTTGACAGAATCGTAAGCATCCAGGTTCTTGCCATTCGCCTACTTTAACAAGCACCTGAATCTGATGGTGTATTCCCGCCATGCTTCAACATGCGTTATCGGTAACAGTACCGATCCTTGGTGAGATATTCAAGACTTGTTTACGTTTGTCGCATATTTCGGTTCTATGGATATAATGGGGCGCCACTCTAAAACGAGGAAAATTTTGGCTAAACTCATCATCTTTACCTTATTGTAAAAAAAAAATAGAGAGAAAATGTGGTTTAAATTGTCAAAATACCGAATATCCAAAGGTACCGTCATATAGGGGCTAAAGGAAAACCTCAACATACACAGACAATGTTATGCCACAGGAGGTAGAACCCATTTCAAACTTTATATGCCTAATTTTACACAATTCCGTGGAAACATATGCTAATATCACCAGAGAACCGAATATTGGGATGCAATTTCATATGGGGCTACACGAAAACGTGAACAGATATACCTGAATGTCAACCATCCTAGGCACAATACAAACTATAACGCCAAAATAGAGATTTCAACGAGTGGCGAATGGCGCCAACGCCGCCTTACTTCATGTTGGATCGTTGCTTGTTATTGTTGAACTCTCTCTTCTTCTATCGTCCCGATACGAACAAAGGCTCCCCCGCTATTGTACAACAAAGGTAATATTGTTTACCAAATCTCCATTATTATTTATTATTAATAAAGCCCGGCTTTTATACTTACACTAACCCCACTATTGTTTTTATTTATACTATTTAATTTGGTTTGCATTGCAATTCCCCCTTTTCCCCGCCTTGGCGCAAACATTGGTCACTTCGTACCGGATTACGAGCTCTTGGTAAAAAGAAGTTAATCGTTACTTCTTTTTTGTCTATTTGCAAGTATCTTCGCGAACAAAAACAACAACATACACTTACATACTTATCGTCATTATCATCTCGTTTCCAGGTACGTACAAGAAATGGAAAAACAAGTAAAAAGCAGCTATGTTCCGGGCCAAATTTTTAATACCCTCCACCATTTAGAAGGAACTTGAAAATTAAAAAAAAAACTTGAAGACGTGGACCTGCTTACGAAATGTCATAGGCTGTAGTACCCATCACGAACTTCAAATACCAAATTAGAAACAATTCCGATCAATAATGTCGCTAAAATCATCAAAATACCGAATATCGGGATGTACCGTTATATAAGGGATATACGAAAACGTGAACTTACACACATAATCACTGCTTAAACGGTCAGACACACATAGGCGTATACATACATACGTTTGATGCAGACGTTTGATATTTTTTGTTTGGTCGTTGCATTACAGGTGAACCGTGATAAAACGGCCTGTAATATAATCAGGCATGTCACAAAATCGTATCGAAATGGTTTGAATTCGGTAGTTCAAAATCGTTCGTTTTTGTTTTAGCTTCTCCAGATTTCGTACGATTTGGTGAACTACGAATTCAGTGTAAATATGGCAACATTATATATTCAATATGGTTCAAAATTAGGGAAATGAAAGAACGAATAAATTAGGAATGAAAACAAAACACATTTGTTGTGTTCCAGAACAAACAAATGCTACAACGCGTTCCCGTACTCCAAAAACTAGCAAAACTTGCAGCTCTCTCTGGAAAACAATGGCGCTGAGTGGTGCACATTTCTGCTTATTTTAGCTACGTGAATTTGGCCGAGCAGAAATGTGCAAATAGTAAATTTGACATTTAATTGGCAGGGCTAACAAGGTTGAAAAATGTATTGATAGTTTCAATGTTCGCGCGTGACAACAAAAATGTAAAGAAAAAAGATGAACTTAAAAACTAAAGAAAAGCTAATATTTGTCGTGCAAAAAAACAAAAAGAGAAAATATGGGGCAAAAAAATTAAGCTTAAAATCAAAGATGTTTTGATTTTGTTTAGGTTGGCTGTCTTCCCAACTTGTGGCATTAAATCTTCTAGCAGACTTAACATTAATTTAACCGGCGCCTCCAACAATGTCAGCTTCTTCGGGGTTGGGATTTGAGAAAACTCCACCTCTAAATACTCTTCAACGCATTCTTAAAACAAAGCTTTCTAAATAAACAGCATTCAAAAATAATGATTAATTTTAACTTATTTTTAATACTCATTTTTTAGTTTTGGCGTCTTTGTGCACAAAGAAGCATGCAATTAATTCCTTAATTTCACTGAGCACATATTTGTTGAAAGAACACCCACCAGTTTTTGCATTTTTTATTGTGACACAATTTTTTTTAACGTATACTGTCCAGTCTGACCATGTCTTTTTCCACCCATTGCAATTTTTGGTGGGTTGTCCCGAGGAATTTTGTTTTTCAATAAGTTGTGATCAACTTATTTCGGCAACCACTCGATCACCTTTGACATGGCCCCTCGCTAG